AATTGGGATCATGGTACAATATATTTTAAATTGTGCTACCCTACAGGTAGGCCTATATAGCATGGCTGAAATGTATTCTGGTATTTCTAAATGCAAGTGTGAATTCTTTTGACACCAGACAATTGAAAATTCAAAACACTAATAAGACACGCATTAAGTTGAAAATTTATCTTATGGGAATCAATTTTGAGATACATAAAATTTAGTGCATTCAACGAAAGTTGAACTATTGATGTGCTACGGAAATGTAAGATCTTTTCTTAAATCCTCTTATCATATCAAATTTGAATTCACTCTTTTGATGTTAGACAAAGAGAACTAATGGAAGAAATTCACAAAAATAGCAAAATTTAGTGATGAGGTGAAACTGCATGGCATTCGGAAATGTACTGATCATTTTTGGTAGCTGTGGCCTCAAATGTTTTTTTTTTTTTTTTTCTCTTGATAAATATGGCCTTGCTTACATGTTAGAATGCCATATTTAGCTATTGGCTATGAATCTATGATAAAAGTATGCCTCAGGCAGTTTACATTTCAAAGAGTCTCCAACTTCACTTGTTGAAGGGAATGATAAAACGAATACCATGAGCCACATTGCTTAAGGGAGGCTCTCTCAGTCACTAAACAATTTTAACCTATTAGCCATGCCAACTGGCACTGGGAATGTGGAAGACGGTGTCAGTTAGAAACTGAAGATTTTGGCTTTGTTTGGCTTGTGCTAAAATAGCACATACTAGTTTAACATATTATCTTATTTGGTCACAATCATTTTATGTGGGTCACATCACTTCAAATTTAACCTATATTTCATGTTTTTTTTGTAAAAAATCAAAAAACATACTACTCTAACACTTTCCAAACAACCCCTTTATTTACATATCAAGGTAACTTTACAACCCCTTAGTAGAAGCTTGCTCTTCTAATATTTGAGTTAACTCGTGTAGAAGGATATCTCGCAAGAATCAACAGATCTAGTTGAAAGAGAAAAAATGCAAGTAAGCTTTTTCTTTGTTTCTTTCTTTTGAAAAAGGTCTAAAAGAAGAAGAAAGAAAATGAAAGGCTAAAGGTCACGGACAAGACCAGCCTACCATCTGGAAGCCCAAGATTTCCTCTGAAGCCCATAGAATATTAGCCATAACCAAATGGTGAGTGTTGCTATGTATTTGGAATGCTAAATGTTTATCTAGAAGCAACAACAAATAATAATAATAATCTTCATTATTAAACAGCCTGCTGTTTAAGCACTGCTCAATGATAGGCAGATGAAGTCAAACTTAGGCGTAGAGCTAAAGACCAGGAAAATAATGAGAGGAGAAAGGCTATATTTTCATTTTTTGGAGGCATTGACAGACATCTCTCCCAGGCCTACATATCAGTCTCAGACACATCTGGTACACGGACATGATTCGGAAAACTGAAAATATTTTTGAATTATGGACACGTGGAGACACGATGAGGACACACTGAGGACAAGTTCTAGACACACTGAGGGACATTCTAAAGACACTCCAAGGAAACTTTCACCACCAATTTTTTATAAAAATAAAAAATAAACTCCAATTGGCAGTGGGGGATTTGAAATTTTGGAGAAAATGCCGCTGTGATAGCACTTTTTGAGTCCACCATAAGAATTGAACAATGTGCCTCCCAAACTGGAACCATGACAGTAAGAAAAGTTAATTCCTGCCTCGATTGTAGGCGTGGTAAGGGGCCCTAAGGGACAGGTTTTCTTTTATCTTCACCCTTGCCTGAAATGTTTTAATGACTTGATATAAAGGACAAGAAACAGAAAGAAGTTGTCCATTGGAATAAACCAGAACAACTACGATATCATTTAAGTCTTAGAGCTACTTGCTAGTGTGCTCATTGCATGAGAGAGGAAGCACATGTACCCTAATATAAAACAAAATCTTTAGTAGTGACTACACAGGTCCTCTATTTTTCATCCCCCTCTTAATGTATCCTTCGTTGTCCTTTGTTGTGAGCATGTGGTGCTCTCAAATGCCTTGTGTTGAAATTTAATGTATAAAGAGAATTGTATTATTGATTGTTATATATTGATGACTGATATGTTGATTTCTATTACAATGATTCATGATTCCTATATATAGAAGAGGGTGAGTGTGTAGTAGGTAAGGAGTAGGTGAAGTGGAGGTGGTAGTGGTGTAGTGGGTTAGGTTTAGTGGAGTAGGTGAGGTGGTAGTGGTGTAATGGGTTAGGTTTAGTGGAGTAGGTTTAAGTGGGTGAAGTAGGTGGAGAGTAGGTGGATTTTAACACCTTGCAAAACTATTTTTTTCATGGACTGCCATATTATATAATATCCTCACTGTGGACCAGCTTAATTATAGTATGAGCCTAATTATTACACGTTTTGTCTGTATTAACTACATAGGATAAAAATGGCACCACCTATGTGATGCAGGATCTTTAAAATTTCAGTACCAAAATAGGGTTAAATGAAGTGAGAAGATAGGCTGAATGTTATGGGAGGTTTAGGACAGATTGGGACTAGGTTTTGGTGTTCTAAGGTAGAGTTTGGAGAGCTTAAATTTGGGTTTAGAGACAGACAAACAGGCCGGATTTTAGACAGAAAATTGTAGTAAAAATAATGAAATGAAATGGTAGATAAAACAAGAAAACTAGGCAATCACACCTAGGTTCAAGAACAATCATACCCAAGGGTTAGGGTTGCATCACACAAACCCAAAGAGAGATGTATCACACATCTAGAGATATAGAAAAGCTTTCTTATTTCTTCAAGTTGTCCTCAATACATTGTGAGCTTACATATTTATAGGCCTCTCAATACAATAGAAGACAAATAGTTGAAATGCAAAATTCAAAGTAAAAGATACACTTTAATGAGATTTTCAAAGTAATGATAATGCTTGGAAAATCTTGGTGGCTGGTGGTTAAACTTTCAGCATTATCATGCTGAAAATTGAACTTTATTGGTGGCTGGTGGCTAAACTTTCAACATTGTCATGCTGAAAAATGGCTGAATGTAGTAGACATCATTATTAGGCTAATTTTAGGGTAGAATCTTGCCAAATAATAATGTAGGCTTTTGAATTTGGTTTCCCTCTTCTTTTGTATTATTTTTCAAAAGGAGTTGCCTTATCATTTGCATCACTATGTGCCTAACGTGGTATTTGTGGAAGAAGAGGAAGCAGCACCTTTTTGAGGCTATGTAGGGATGGACTTACATAGGAAAAAGATGTCATTGATTCATGGTTCTCATTTTTGGCTTAAAGAAAAGCTTTGTGAATCCTCCTTTGCTTTTGTAGATTTTATAGCTGATCTTAGTTTTGTTGATGCCTTTTTGTAATGACTTGTATAAATCTAGCGTATAAAGGTTGCGGCCCTTTTGACGGTTTTAGTGAATATTATTAATTATAAAAATATTCAAAGAATCAACAGTATAACTGTTCTTGACCATTGTTTTTTTTCTCTGGTTGTTTATGTGCTTTGGTTTGTGGTGTCCCACATAATTAAGGGACCCTTCCTTGGGTTAGCAAAAATCAAGGAGTTACCTCCAGAAAATGGCCAATTGCTTTTGAAGTTCAACACTTTTAGCTATTACTAGGGGAATTAGGTAAAACGAAAGTCCTAGAATCTTCTGTGGAGAGATTTCGGCAGCATTTTGTTGTGTATTGGAATTATAATTCCAATCAAAAAATTTCAAAACTCATAACCAAATAAATTTTTTCAAAACTCAATTCAAAAACTATTTTCATAACTCATAACCAAACACAAAACTCAAAATTCAAAACTCAATTCAAAACTCTTTTCAAAACTCAAAATCAAACTCTCTTCAAAACTCTATTTTAAAAAAAAAAAATCAAAAAAATATTCTTTTATTGTTTTTTAAATTTATTTTTAGAATCATGATTTGAGTGTGAAGTCGTGTTTTGAGTTGAGTTTTGAAAAGAGAAAATTTGTTTGGTTATGAGATTTGAAAAGAGTTTTAAGTTGTATTTGAAATTTTTTGGATTTATTTTTTTTTAATATTTAAAAATTTTCTTAAATTTATTTTTTAGGGTAAATATTTTATATTTCAAATATTTATTCATTTATTTTAATGTGCACTATATTTCATACATTTGTGTGCTGTATTTTTTTAAAATATTTTTTCAATATTAAAAAAATTAAAATTTTATTTTTTTATTTTAAATATTTTATTTTATTTTATTTTATAAATATATTTTTAAATATTTTAATTTTTTTTGTTATGTATTGGTTACGATTTGAGTGTAGAGTTTTGAAAGTAATATAGAATTTCGAATTATGTATTTGGTTACGATTAGAGTGTGAAATTGTGTTTTGAGTTTAAAATATTAAAATTTCAAAAATTAAAATATTTACAAAATAAACTAAAGTATTGAAAATTTAAAAAAAATTAATTTAAATAAAATTTATATATTTAAAATAAATAAATAAAATTTTCTTAAACATTTTTTAATATTTTAAGAAAATAAATCTAAAAAATTTCAAAATACAACTCAAAATTCAAAAACTCAAAACTCTTTTCAAAATTCAAAATTCAAAAACTCTTTTTAAAACACTTTTCAAAACTCATACCCAAACAAATTTTCTCTTTTCAAAGCTCAACTCACAATTCCACACTTAAATCACAACTCCACACTCAAATCACAACTCCACACTTAAATCAAACTAAACCAAATGGAGCCTCCAAGTTTATCTTGCTCCAAAAGAAATCATTATTTCATTACTCTGAGGCTGCATAATGGATATTTTCAAGAGTGTGACCAAGAGTAGATTAGTAGTTATTTTGTTGTTTCTAAGTGATTGTAATTGAGCATTCAGGCTTCTAGTCCCCCCCCCCCGCGGCAGCTCATTGTGTCTTCTTTAGTTTATTCTCCCATAAAATGTGGCGAATTGAGTTAAGAAAACATGCACCTTCTTGGCCAAAAAGCACAGATATTGAACCGTAATACCATCCAAATAACAGAAAATATTAATAATGCTTAATTTTAGACCTGGTTAATATAAGGCTCCAGTTGATGCAATAGCTCATATCCCTGCATGAAGAGAGAAAAAAAGTTTTAGAAGCAGCATATGCATAACCAAAATTAATATATTTATAAGGACTGGAGTTGTCTTCACATAACACACCTGTTTGAAGTAATGAAGATGAGCATCCATTGCCCCACTAACAACCTCCAAAAACTCAAACCTCTTTTTTTCCTCAACTTTAGCAAGAGCACCAATCTGAGTTTAGAAAAGTATACAAAAAATTATAAGACTAACTGTTTCTGTATAGCATCTTTACCTGGATTTCTTAAAACCTTTATATGTATAATATTAATATATATATATATATACATATACAAGACCTATATATATTTTGTAAATACAAGACCTATATTTCTTGGCACCTTGATATTAAAAAAATTATATGAAAAAATGGGAATAGCTAGAGTTACCAAATTAAAACGCGCTTGCTCGAATGCTGATCTTGAATTGTGAAGTTCCTGGAACATCTCTCTACCAAATTAGAATTCAAATAAATAAATAAAAGGTGATGGTTACCCATACAAACTCTCTTATCAATTATTGCTTCAGAATGAATAACATTATATATAAAGGGCAACTAATACAGGATACCTCCTCTATGGCAGCAGCTATATCCAGCCTAGAACTTTTCCTCAGTGATAAATACTTCTCACGTGCCTGTGGCACCAAATGGTTCTCACTATCAAGAAGGCACTAACTAAAACATCAAATAGCATAAAGTTTATCCAGTTATCCATGCAAAAAATTCATTAAAGCATTTAAAGAAAGTGTAAGTGTGAGTGTACAATTACTTTCTTTCTTTTTCATTGTTCCTTTTTCATTTTGAGGAGCATTGGCTAAGTTGGGAAGTTACTTGGAAAAGATGTATGATTGTAGCATTACAACAGCTATAAGGAAGCTATGCTTCATGCCAGAGAATGCGACGTGATATAGAAACATATCCAAAAATTAGTTTATCAGAGTAAGGTGTTAAGAAAGGTAAGGGACAATGCTAGAAAAGATAATAGGAAATTTATAAACTCGTGAATAGTTATACAACTGGCACCAATTAAAGACAAAGGGAGGATTGTCTTTTAAGAAAGTTCGTGGAACTATAGTGTTTGATTGGTTTGATAACAATTAAGTGACCTCAAGATATTTGGTGCAAAATATCATACACAATCATGCCTATATATTATTGTGTAGCATTCTTCAACGAGTTTTAGTTGTTTCTGCCATCACCTAAAATATATAAGACTGGATGTGCAGAATATATATTGAGATGTTATATTCACCTGGTCATATATAACATTAGCTTTGTCAAAACGCTTCCGAGCTTCCTGCATCAACACAAAACCCATATTACATAAAAATGGAATGTGGTTAGAAAAGTGACTGGCGAAGAACTGCGCAAATGGGTGGCAATAAAACCAAACCAAGCCTTAAGTCCCATCAAATGGGGTCGGCTACATGAATCCTTCTTCTCCACGCGGCCTTATCAAAGGCCATTTCATTAGTCAAATTAAGTAGATTCATATCTCTATTTAAAACGCTAGTCAACGTTAATCTAGGCCTACCTCGTCCCCTAACACTTCCATCTACCGTTACAGCATCGCATCTCTTCACTACTGCCTCTGTTGGTCTCCGTTGAATATGACCAAACCATCTCAAACGATTCTCTCTCAACTTATCTTCTATCGGTGCTACTCCTACCCATTCCCGAATACACTCATTCCTAATCCTGTCTTGTCTAGTCTTACCACACATCCACCTTAGCATCCTCATCTCAGCCACACTCATCTTATCTACATGTTGTTTCTTGGTTGCCCAACACTCCGTCCCATACAACATAGTTGGTCTAATAGCCGTTCTATAAAACTTACCTTTTAGTCTAGTGGGTATTCGTTTATCGCACAATACCCCAGACGCACTTCTCCACTTACACCATCCCGCCTTGATCCTATGGGCCACATCTGCATCAATCTCTCCTGCTGTTGTGATAATAAATGGGTGGCAATAACATTATTTAAAAATAAAAATGAAAAACATACAAGTGAATTTTTAACTTAGTAATAGTGAAAAATGAATAAAAAATATGCTCTCAACATCTTGCAACTTAAATTTACACTACAAGATAAGAGCACTCCAAACTTAGCCATTTTAATTGGCAGAACCATTTAACTGGCACAAGTAAATATTTTTATGAACAATGCATAAAACATTCACTGGTTCAAGGATGATGGTTATACAATGTTGCTTCTAACTCTATGGACAGTGGACATGCTATGACACCCTGCACTACACAGGCAGGAACATCACCAGATTTTGGTGGCAGCTAAACCAGTTAATGCAAATAACAAATCCAAAGGAATGGTAAATAGTACCTTGACATCATGCAGGCCAACATTGACTAATTGTAATAACCTATCATTTAGCATGAGCTCTACCTGAGAAAGAAATTTAAGAATGTTACATAAGGAATTAAAGAGAGGAACTACATGTATCACCAAAATCAATATGGTAAAATCATATCAAGCAAACTTATTGAGACAAAAGAATAAAAAACTGTTTCTTAGAAAGCAAGCAAAGAATAATCCAAACGTATTCTTGAAGATAGCTATGGATGAAATTATAGGGTAATGGAAGTCTATCATTGCACATAAAAATATAAAATATTGGAAGTAGAATATTAGACAGCATACACTCACCAAACAACTCACGAACATTGCACAGTGAATAAAGAATGCACATGCATGCAAATGTAAGAACATCATAAATTCTAAAATGTTTAATGAGTCAAAAAAGGAACAAATTTATGGTCAGAATGGGCACAGTAGACCAGTTAATACATTTTTTAACCAAGTTTTGGAAATAAGTGACGATGGTGGGACTTCTAAAACCAAAAAACCACAATTATGAGATAAGGCAAATTGGTCACCAATTTAAGTAAGTTGGGTCTGCACTGCACATCCCAGTTTCTTTTGCAAACTTTTGGGGCTTCAGAATCTCTAACAGGCAGTTTTGGAATCAAGGAGAGAAAAGTAAATAAAGGATTTGATTAGGAAGGTTAAATTCAAAGAAGAGATGATATTTGAACAATGGCATGATTTAATAGAGAAATTTATAGAAATCTTATATAATTATATTTCTAGTATTAATAGTTTTATTTTATAATTATATTTATGTTTTCTAGGATTTTTTTTTTCTTTTGATAAATAAACAAACTTTGTCAAAAAAACATTAAGATGATGCAAAGAATACAAAAATTCAGTCCCCTAAGGGAAAATAATGCTAAGATATCAAATCCACCACAAAATCTACAAAAGCCAAAACATCTGGATCAATCAAACCCGTAACCTAATTATATAACACCATGAGCAACTGCCTCTCCAGCCAAGGGGTCGAATGAGACACCCCTTGGAAACCAAGCCTATTACGCTCCAACCAAATAAGCCACATTAAAGAGTGCGAAGCAATCATCCATGCCTTCCAACGTCTCCTCCTAACCTACCCCCAGCCCAACTTTGCAAAACTGCCAACACAGAACCTGGTTGCACCCAAACCAATCCAAAAGTTGCAACAATAAGCATCCAAAGCTGAGAAGTAAGTAGACAATGAACAAGCAAATGATCCACCGACTCAGCATCACCACAACTAGGGATGGCAATTTAAACTCGGTCCGACGGGGACTCGACCCCCCGATCCCGAATAACACGGTTTTTTCCCGAAAATTATCCCCATAGGGCCAGGGATGGTATTAAAATTTAAATCCCCGATAATTTTCAGGCCGGGGACGGGGATAGGTTTTCCGGCCCCGGACCCGCCCCGGCCCCGGCCCTGAATGAGCCCCGTACATCCCCCGTATATATTATATATAAAATATATTTCTAAATATCATTTTATTCTCTCCCTCTCACTGTTGAATCTTCATTCCACTCACTCATTCTCTCTCTCTACCAATCCTCTCTCTCTCTCTCCCCCTCCACCGCCGATCTTCGTCAGTCACCACTCTCTCCTCCATCGCCGATCTTCTTCACTACCGATCTCCTCTCTCTCAGTGTCTCTCTCTCTCTCTCGCTACCACCGTCGTCATACACCACCGATACCGCTGCCACCGTCGTCGCACATCACCGCATCTCGCTACCACCGTCGCCGTACACCACCGATCCCGCTGCCACCGTCGTCGTACACCATTACAGGGACGTGACTCACCGATCTCGCTCCCACCGTGGTTTTTTGAACAGATCTATGTTTTTTTTTTTTTTTGAAAAGTCTTGATCAATATATATATATATATATATATTCAGATCTCATTCTTAGCTTGTAACAGATCTATGATGTTATGGTTTTATCTTGATCAAATCAATCTCATATTGTGCTGGTTGTTGTTTTTGTACGGGGATTGTTCGGGGTCGGGGAAACCCGATCCCCGTTTGGGGACGGGGGTGGGGGGCATGACGGGTCCCCCGTCGGGGATCGGGGCCGGGGCCGGGGAATCTTATGGCTTCGGGGATCGGGGACGGGGAGGGTAGTCCCCAACCCCGCCCCGCCCATTGCCATTCCTAACCACAACACAAACAGCACCAATTCATCAAGATATGCCGACGTCTAACTAAATTGTCAATCATCAAAATACGTCCTAAAGCTGTCGTCCAAACAAAAAAAACTATCTTAGATGGCGAACCCGACACCCAGACACACTTCCAAGGGAACAAACCCGCATCATCATAAACAAGCGCGCCATAAAACGAAGACACAAAATGTTTTCTAGGATTTTTAGCTCAGGGGTATTTTGGTATTTTCCATATTTGCTGATATGGGCTATAGGGGTTGCCCATGGGTCATCTTGTGGGTCAAGTTATTTAATTGGGTATTATTTATATTTTTTATTTGGTCTTAAATTGGCTTTGGAAGTCAAAAAAATATTTTAGTTTCCTTTTTTGATTCTATTTCGTTTAGGAAATCTCTTACTTCTATAAAAGCCATGTAATGTTTATAGTTTAATAGAATTAACATTTTAGAGAATTTAAAGAGCTTTTGAAGGTTATTTATGGACTGGGTAATGTAATCAAATCAACCCTAGGCGTGATGCCTAAGGGATTCTAGGAGTGATTCTAAAATTTCAGCACTTTCACAACCTAATTACTGTTCATGGGTACTGTTCACAGCACCCAAACAGTCCCAAAATTCAGTCTTGCTTCTTATTACATTAAGCCCTAACCCTAATTCTTCCATACACCATTATAAGCCCTAAATTTCACATTACTTTTTAGCTTGAAGTCACAATAAAAACCCACAGAAATTCAGTTTTAAAGTCCTTACAGCACTGTCCCTAATCATCCTACATCAAGATTACTTTAGATGGGAGAGAGGAAAAAAAGAGAAGGAAAAAAAAAACAAAGAGAACATGTTGTGTTTTCTCTCCTTATTTGGGATATAAGCGGGAGAGAAAAGATAGTGATTTTTTCTCTCCTATCTTGTTTGGTTAGGCTACACAAGAGAAAAGAAAGAAATGGACTTATATTGTTCTACCCAAATAATCTCTAATGATGTTATTTCTTTTATTTATTTATTTATTTTTAGACGGATAGTTTAAATATTATGAAAAGCCAGCATTAGTTTTGTAACACCCCAAGTGTTACCATTAGCATGACATGTGCATATTATGTTCTATGCATGAATATCTAGAGTTATGTTTCTCTTTTGCTATGAGGGTATTTGAAAGTATGCTATATCACTCATTTTGAGAGACATGACTTGCTATGCTATATAAAGAATTAAATTCCTTATATTATGATATAACACGATCTAAGATGTAAAATAAATTGATGTATTATTGATTAATTGTATTGATTGATATTGATGTGTAATTACAATGATTCATGATTCCTATATATAGAAGAAGGTGAGTGTGTAGTAGGTAAGGAGTAGGTGAAGTGGAGGTGGTAGTGGTGTAGTGGGTTAGGTTTAGTGGAGTAGGTGAGGTGGTAGTGGTGTAGTGGGTTAGGTTTAGTGGAGTAGGTGAGATGGTAGTGGTGTAGTGGGTTAGGTTTAGTGGAGTAGGTGAGATGGTAGTGGTGTAGTGGGTTAGGTTTAGTGGAGTAGGTGAGATGGTAGTGGTGTAGTGGGTTAGGTTTAGTGGAGTAGGTGAGATGGTAGTGGTGTAGTGGGTTAGGTTTAGTGGAGTAGGTGAGATGGTAGTGGTGTAGTGGGTTAGGTTTAGTGGAGTAGGTGAGATGGTAGTGGTGTAGTGGGTTAGGTTTAGTGGAGTAGGTGAGATGGTAGTGGTGTAGTGGGTTAGGTTTAGTGGAGTAGGTGAGATGGTAGTGGTGTAGTGGGTTAGGTTTAGTGGAGTAGGTGAGATGGTAGTGGTGTAGTGGGTTAGGTTTAGTGGAGTAGGTGAGATGGTAGTGGTGTAGTGGGTTAGGTTTAGTGGAGTAGGTGAGATGGTAGTGGTGTAGTGGGTTAGGTTTAGTGGAGTAGGTGAGATGGTAGTGGTGTAGTGGGTTAGGTTTAGTGGAGTAGGTGAGATGGTAGTGGTGTAGTGGGTTAGGTTTAGTGGAGTAGGTGAGATGGTAGTGGTGTAGTGGGTTAGGTTTAGTGGAGTAGGTGAGATGGTAGTGGTGTAGTGGGTTAGGTTTAGTGGAGTAGGTGAGATGGTAGTGGTGTAGTGGGTTAGGTTTAGTGGAGTAGGTGAGATGGTAGTGGTGTAGTGGGTTAGGTTTAGTGGAGTAGGTGAGATGGTAGTGGTGTAGTGGGTTAGGTTTAGTGGAGTAGGTGAGATGGTAGTGGTGTAGTGGGTTAGGTTTAGTGGAGTAGGTGAGATGGTAGTGGTGTAGTGGGTTAGGTTTAGTGGAGTAGGTGAGATGGTAGTGGTGTAGTGGGTTAGGTTTAGTGGAGTAGGTGAGATGGTAGTGGTGTAGTGGGTTAGGTTTAGTGGAGTAGGTGAGATGGTAGTGGTGTAGTGGGTTAGGTTTAGTGGAGTAGGTGAGATGGTAGTGGTGTAGTGGGTTAGGTTTAGTGGAGTAGGTGAGATGGTAGTGGTGTAGTGGGTTAGGTTTAGTGGAGTAGGTGAGATGGTAGTGGTGTAGTGGGTTAGGTTTAGTGGAGTAGGTGAGATGGTAGTGGTGTAGTGGGTTAGGTTTAGTGGAGTAGGTGAGATGGTAGTGGTGTAGTGGGTTAGGTTTAGTGGAGTAGGTGAGATGGTAGTGGTGTAGTGGGTTAGGTTTAGTGGAGTAGGTGAGATGGTAGTGGTGTAGTGGGTTAGGTTTAGTGGAGTAGGTGAGATGGTAGTGGTGTAGTGGGTTAGGTTTAGTGGAGTAGGTGAGATGGTAGTGGTGTAGTGGGTTAGGTTTAGTGGAGTAGGTGAGATGGTAGTGGTGTAGTGGGTTAGGTTTAGTGGAGTAGGTGAGATGGTAGTGGTGTAGTGGGTTAGGTTTAGTGGAGTAGGTGAGATGGTAGTGGTGTAGTGGGTTAGGTTTAGTGGAGTAGGTGAGATGGTAGTGGTGTAGTGGGTTAGGTTTAGTGGAGTAGGTGAGATGGTAGTGGTGTAGTGGGTTAGGTTTAGTGGAGTAGGTGAGATGGTAGTGGTGTAGTGGGTTAGGTTTAGTGGAGTAGGTGAGATGGTAGTGGTGTAGTGGGTTAGGTTTAGTGGAGTAGGTGAGATGGTAGTGGTGTAGTGGGTTAGGTTTAGTGGAGTAGGTGAGATGGTAGTGGTGTAGTGGGTTAGGTTTAGTGGAGTAGGTGAGATGGTAGTGGTGTAGTGGGTTAGGTTTAGTGGAGTAGGTGAGATGGTAGTGGTGTAGTGGGTTAGGTTTAGTGGAGTAGGTGAGATGGTAGTGGTGTAGTGGGTTAGGTTTAGTGGAGTAGGTGAGATGGTAGTGGTGTAGTGGGTTAGGTTTAGTGGAGTAGGTGAGATGGTAGTGGTGTAGTGGGTTAGGTTTAGTGGAGTAGGTGAGATGGTAGTGGTGTAGTGGGTTAGGTTTAGTGGAGTAGGTGAGATGGTAGTGGTGTAGTGGGTTAGGTTTAGTGGAGTAGGTGAGATGGTAGTGGTGTAGTGGGTTAGGTTTAGTGGAGTAGGTGAGATGGTAGTGGTGTAGTGGGTTAGGTTTAGTGGAGTAGGTGAGATGGTAGTGGTGTAGTGGGTTAGGTTTAGTGGAGTAGGTGAGATGGTAGTGGTGTAGTGGGTTAGGTTTAGTGGAGTAGGTGAGATGGTAGTGGTGTAGTGGGTTAGGTTTAGTGGAGTAGGTGAGATGGTAGTGGTGTAGTGGGTTAGGTTTAGTGGAGTAGGTGAGATGGTAGTGGTGTAGTGGGTTAGGTTTAGTGGAGTAGGTGAGATGGTAGTGGTGTAGTGGGTTAGGTTTAGTGGAGTAGGTGAGATGGTAGTGGTGTAGTGGGTTAGGTTTAGTGGAGTAGGTGAGATGGTAGTGGTGTAGTGGGTTAGGTTTAGTGGAGTAGGTGAGATGGTAGTGGTGTAGTGGGTTAGGTTTAGTGGAGTAGGTGAGATGGTAGTGGTGTAGTGGGTTAGGTTTAGTGGAGTAGGTGAGATGGTAGTGGTGTAGTGGGTTAGGTTTAGTGGAGTAGGTGAGATGGTAGTGGTGTAGTGGGTTAGGTTTAGTGGAGTAGGTGAGATGGTAGTGGTGTAGTGGGTTAGGTTTAGTGGAGTAGGTGAGATGGTAGTGGTGTAGTGGGTTAGGTTTAGTGGAGTAGGTGAGATGGTAGTGGTGTAGTGGGTTAGGTTTAGTGGAGTAGGTGAGATGGTAGTGGTGTAGTGGGTTAGGTTTAGTGGAGTAGGTGAGATGGTAGTGGTGTAGTGGGTTAGGTTTAGTGGAGTAGGTGAGATGGTAGTAGACTCTCTTGTGTATAATATGTTTATAAATGTTTTATATCCCTTAATCGAGGAGCTTAATTGTCATAGTCTAATACGCTTGACAACTCTATACAACGTGTGAAAACCTACTTGTGATTAGTGCTCGGCCTCACCAGGTTCGCTCACACCCAGGCCTTGCTCGGCCAGTCGCTTGGCTGATTAGTGCTCGGCCTCACCAGGTTCGCTCACACCCAGGCCTTGCTCGGCCAGTCGCTTGGCTCATTAGTAGCCTTGTCGAGCTAGTTATATCTCCCTACGCTCGCCTCTAGCTTACTCAACTCGCCAGCAGCCCTACCTAGTGAGATCTCCATGTTGAAGGACAGACGCTCCAACCTGATTACCTGGGCTAGAAGCAAGACCCAAGTGCTGCGCTTGGGACCATCAAAGGACCTATAGATGGGAGGCTAGAGCTCAAGGATCGCTACTCGCTCACCGAGCTCGCCCTCGAGGACAAGGCAGGCTCGGACCAATCTTACAAAAAGAGGATCTTTGACCAAGGCTTGACACCTCAATAATTGTATCCTGACTACCTCTAAGCTACTCAGACATGTCCAGAAAGAGAAGCATCATACTTACCCCTAGTTTACATATGATACACCCCTTGAGGCCGGCATTAGAGGTTGCAGAGTTGACCCTGCTTCCCTACATTTTGCCTAGCGAAGGGGATCACGCCATGTGTACCCGATTGAGCTAGCTCCCAAAACAGGACACAACCAGCCTACCCAAATGTTGAAGAGGACAACCAGCCTACCCGAAATAGGTATGTACACAAGCTACAATCACATGAAAAATCCACCAATATCCCTCCTATTTGCAAGAACCACTAACAGATTACGGAAGCTTCCAACCTAGGCTGTTGTATGCAAACTATTGCACATTTATGAGGTAGAAACCCCAAAAAGGAGACAACAGTTTAACCCTCCATATGACAATGGTACAAAATTCCTAGTCTGGAATTTATGCCGAGGACCGGAATCATAAACGCTACTGGTTCTTTTGCAGCCTTTCCAGCGCCCTGACATTTAATCATGCTTACTTTGAGCTGGCAATATATTGCTTCCACACAAGCAGAAGAACATTTCTGAAGAAAAATCTAGTTCACAAGCAAAACAATATTAGTTAGAAGGAAAACTTAGAAATAGTTACATATCAAATTACCGACTTCAATGAGCTTCAAAAAAAAATCTTGCAGCAGAAAGTGAGATGCACAATGGAGTCTTACACAACCACCCATTTACAATAAAATAGCATCAACATTCCTTCAGCAATACCATTCAAGTAGCAATCTTCCTTAGTGCAATCTGAAGGAATATGCTTATAACAAGCAAGAGCAGGCTATTGCAAGAAAAAAGTAGAATTAAATGTGATGTGGTAACAAAAGCAAGAAAGTTGCTACCTGTGATCGAAGAACTTCCTTGTAAGTTCCAATTTCTCTCAAAGCAATTGCAAATTTGGTCATCACGGGACCTGAGAAAACAAAATGAAATGTTATACTAAGTATAAACCGCCACAAAGACATGTAGAGTTATTTACGATATTGTTGAGTTAGCTTTAGTCCTGCCGAAGCTTGGCTTCATAAGCATTAAGGCTTGAGCTCAGCATGTTTAGGCTGATGAATGAGCTTGAACAAGCTCTTAACAGGTTGCATGCTGCATGCATCCCTTTAATAACAACCCCTTTTGTGTCTCACTTCCCTTGCAGAACCCATGGCCACTCTGTTCGGAAAGTTTGTTAGATACAGTTGTAGTTTTCAAAATACTCAACAATATCATAAATAACTCTACACAAGCTCTTAACAGGTTGCAATGGAGCTGCATGCATCCATTTATAAACCACCCCTTTTGTGTCCCATTTCCTTCACAGAACCTAAGGCCACTCTGTTTGGAAAGTTTGCTAGATACAGTCTTAGTTTTCAAAATACTCGTTGATATGCCCAAGTTGATAGGATGCAAATCATCATATTTATCTACACTTACTAACAAAATAAAATTTCAACTCCAACTGAATTCAATGAATTCATGCCCTTTAAAACCAATGAATGTTTGATAGACCTGGAAGCAGTATTCACTGCCTTTACGAAGAAGATACTAATGAAATATGCTGAGATGAGCCTATTCTTTTACCAAAGCAAGTTCATCAAAGATGGGTCGAAAAAGGCTCGAGCTTAATTCAAGCTCAAACATGATTTAAGATATCTAGCCAAAATTGAACAATGCAGCACTAGCTTGGCTAGCTCTTCATGTTTAGGCCTTCCAAAGTAAAAGGACAATTAGCATGCACAGAAAAATCAACACATGACAGATAGAAACAATAACTATTAACTATCCAATTTTGAACATAGACTAGTATATGCCCCTGGTGGTTCTGTTGCTCAACAATAGATCTGGACTGAAATGGTAAGACATTGCCACAAAAACTTCACACGAAAATGAGCCACTAGAATCATAATTAAGGTTAAGTCTTTCATCCCCCATTATTTCCAAGTTAATGAGATAAGATTGCTCAATTGATGAAGCATCTGTTTGTCTTATGTAATAAATTACATACTGACATAATTTCATGACCAATGATAACCATCTGCACCCTCCAAATGCATGGGAGAAGAAACGGCTCAAAGAATCAATTTTTAACCGTCTTATCATGGAAAAAACCCTATTCTGATGAGGGAGATTCAAACAAATATACCTCCAAAAGAAGCACAAATCGGGTCATTTTGCCCCCCAAAACTTTCAAGAGCACTTGCAAATGCGATGTCCCTGTCATATCCTTCTCCAAGCCCATCTCTGTAAGTTTGAAATGAGAAATGAGAAATGAAGCATATGCTTAAAACAACAGAAGGCCTTTGAAAAAACAAATAATTCATGGTAGAAATTTAAGGTAAACTGGAAACTATTTTAAAAGCTTTAAGCAATTTTAGATAACATAACAGTAAAGTTTAAAAAGAAAATGAAAAAAATACTTAAATCACTACTTTCGCCTACTCTCTGAAAGGATATCATAAGTTTCAATAACAAAAGTAAGGGAAATTGATTGATACCACCCAAGAAATTCTCATTTTGTCACATCGAAACGTTAACAGATGAATATGTGGAGGTTTTTTTTAGCTAATTTTGAGTTTAAAACCTACTTGTGTAGAAGCATAGACTTCATAGAATATTTCATCACTTTGTAAACTAACAAACTGACAAAAATTGGATTACACAACTAGGAAAAACAAAAAAAACAAAACAAAGCATCCAACAAGAAAAGTTTAACTCAATAAAGGAAGAAGAAGCTTCCAATAAGAACAAAAATCCAAATATAACATGTAAAAAATACTCTATCTAATAGCACAAAAAATTAGCAAACCTAAAATTATGTGAGCATATACAATACCCACTCATAAATCAGAAACATAGTGCCAAGAGATTGGCAACAAATTAGTAGTTGATTCACATCTTAGGAACCAATCTTACAGAGTACATATCAATTAGGAACCCATATGTTGGATCTGGGAGATGATCGACTTTGAGATCCTTCTCGAGGATCAATAAACATGCACTCCAAGACCTACACATGCATGCGCACGCACACAAAGACACACAAGAACTACTATGAAAGACTTAAGTTCCCCAGGAAAAAAATAATCCAAAGAAAAGACCATGAATACCAACAACTATCCCATTGGAAGATTTGCCTAGCTCAACTTGCAAGGCAATTATCTTTCTCCATCTATGCCTCAAATAGTCTAGCATGGAGGTTGAATGGCATTGTCATTAAATTCATGCAAGTCTAACTCATAATATCAGAATGCATAGGCATTAGCTAGCTCTCTTTTTTCTAATTTAAGTGCATATAAATCAGGAACGTCTAATTGAATAGTTCATCCCCAAATTACTCAACATGAAAAAACACAACACTCTCTCTAAATCCAATGAACGCTCTCCTTTCAAAAACCAAATAGTAACTTACAGATAATTCTCCAAGGCCAAATCCAGCACTATCAACTTCAGCTTATAGCCAACCTGACTCATATTATCCATCTGTTACAGGTGCAAAGAGCATAAGGGCCATTTAAAAGGAAGATGCAGCCCAATCCACTTATTGATGTTTGGAAATTACAAATCACAATAGGAAATTGTAGATTCAATTATAATCTATTTCCCTATCTCAAATATTTCATTTATTTATTAATTTCAAGGTTTAACAACAATCCATTTGTTTTGAAATAAGGGTTCTACATATCTAATTTCTTTTTTAGATCAGATTTTCAGAGTGAGTTCAATGTTGTTCGGAAAATGAGGATGATGAAGAGGTGAGAAGAAGAGGAAAAAAGAGATATAAGAAAGTATAATAACACTGTCATATAATTGTAGTTTCTTTGTTTGAAATTCCATATTGTTCTTAAATTTTCTACATATTAAATTCAAACTGTGACATCTATCCTTACCTAAGAAAAGTATATTAACACTGCCATATAATTGTTAAATAGATATAGACATATCAAGTGCATGTAGACATGATATCAGTGTTCAAACATAATCATGCTTTCAAGGGGCTCCTATTGTCCCATTTTGAGTAAATTTAACAATTTGCAAACCTCATACTGTCAACCCCACCAGGCTCTCTAACGCTTAATATCACCTTGTGGCAACCATTAGGGGGTACTATAAGAATTCTACCTAACCACTACATTGTATCCAATGCCACCGATCCAATTAGAAAAGCCTAAAATTCAACGCAAAATTCTCCAGATTCTTGTTTATATGGCCTGAGTCCCTCACTAAAGATTTTACCATAACTCTCAGTTACTAAAGTAACAACTCTTCAGGCTTGGAAGTGACTATGAAGAATATACTAGGCATGAGAGAAGAGTATTACCATCAACTTCTCCTTATAAGTCAAGATAACAATAAGCTTGAGTTTTTAGGTAAACCTGTCCAACCTAACCCTCAATTTTAAAGTGTTGTCACTTAAAATGTAAATCTCCTCAAGTAGCCTTGCTTAAAGAAAAATTAATCCCATATTTGCGATCAAAGTGGTAACAACGTGAGTTCACAAAGGCTTTAAGGATTTTATCAACTTTCAATGTGGAGGGACAATGATATGGCGGAGGGTGATTCGATTGGTGGAGGTGGAGTGGGTAGTTCCTTCTTGTGTTCATTTGTTTTGTGTTGATCTAAGAGGTTTTGGTTCAAGTGACAAAGCTCAGGATCTTTGTAATTGTGTTGTGTGTTCGGTTTTGTGGGTCATATGGTTAAAAGGGGATGATAGAATCTTTGAACGGAAAAGTGATGATTGGGAGGGATTATGGGAGAAGATTCACTGCTTGGCTTCATTTTGGGTTTCAACATCTCCTTCGTTTAAAGGAAATTCCCTTATTTTTTTATTTCTAGAGATTGGAAGGTTTTTCGTAGATCACGATATTTTTCTTTTGTTTTTTCATTGCTGGGGACTTCTTGTCCTTATGGTTTCCTTTTTATTGTTATTTTTGTATTCCATGTTCTTACTTTTTTATTAATGAATTTTTTTTCTTATTGATAAAAAAAAAAATTATGGTGCGACAATGATATCATGAACCCACCAAGTGGAGATCATATTATTTAAGTCAGACAGAATCACTACCATCCTAATGCTAATTTGTATCATGGATGGTGGAACATATTAAAATAAACTTGTCCACCTTCGAACTCTAAAATAATAGTATATAGCTTCCCTTTAAAAGAATTAATGATGTAGCATAGAAGGAATGACAGTAGAGAAGAAGAACAAAGTATAGACAAGAAGATAAGTGAATAAAGAAAGAAAGTAGAGGGAAGGAGGAAACAGTGAACCAATCCCAAATCAAAAAACTCAACTAATCAATATCTAAGCCAAGTTTGCAAAACCTATTACATATCATCCTAGGAAACCTCAGTAATAGTTGCCAAAAAAAAAAAATACAATAAATCCTAATAAAACCCAATAAATCAAAAATCAAAAAATAATGCTAAAGCAAATCCCTAAACTTCAAGTTAACTGCATCCAATACTTTCACGATCTCCATCAATTATCTAGCTTCCCTCACAAATCTCTTACTCGGCATTTTGATTTAACATATGGTGACACCTGCAGCTCCATGCATACCATGCGAAGTATGATAAAAGATTTTAAATTTTTAAATCCTAGCAGGTATGAGTTGCAACAAGTGACAGCTTCCCAGTATTGCAACCTGATTATATTTTCAATTTATCCCACCCTATCCCCCTGCAGGTCTCAAGTTTGAGACTTGGTACATGTCTCCCATGGCAAAATTGGGGAAAGGGTACCCCATCCAAAACCTAAGTCATTGCTATCCTTAACCCAATAATGCTACATTCATTAAAGCCTACAGTCAAGCTTCGACTTAATAAAAACTTAACAAACCTGTTTTTTTTTTCTTTTTCTATTGGCACCGGGGTGTCCATATCAAAACCATGACTAATCCTCAGAGGTGCATAGGCCCTCGGTAAGGAATTTTCCGCAAGTACACCACAATTAATTCAAGGGTTTTCCCCCACTCCGATTGCCCCAATTAATTGTTAGCACCTAACAGGTTTCAATCTTTGAACCTTGGAAGGAACACACCCCCAAGACTCTTTCCACCGGGCCAACCCCTTGGGCTTAACAAACCTGTTTTTCACTTATTAAACGATTCAGTTTTAAGTGATAAATTAGGTTATAAAACACCACCTTAGTGTAGAATTGAATGGCAGCATGTTTTACAACACTAATATATAAAAATTTTAGTTCTCCCCAAATTAGCTAGTGCTTCACAAGGATAGATATGGAGTTTTATAAATATCAAGGCTATTACCGTAAATTTGTTGCATATTCAAGGATCGTTCTCCCCAAATTAGTTCTGTGAACAATTGGGTTAGTTGCATCCCTATACATCTCTACTACACTAATAAGTTCTTCTCATTGTTCTAATAAAAGGAAATATTGTAGAAAGGATGAATTAGCATTATTAAAAATTGCATATTTGCAGATTTTCTAGAAAAATCAAAATCTAACAAAAATTAAAAATTATCAATACCATTTTACTTTGAAGATTATCATTGAGTCCTATCAAGTTCTAATATAGACAACTAAAAGTCCTACTTTTATAAGTTGGTCCCAAAAAATTCAATTCTCCGTAATAGTATATTTTATTCCAGTTTTACCCTTCTTAAAACATGAACCACAAAATTTCATAAATATATTTATTTAAAATTTTATAAAAAAAACATTTTTAATTGTTGAAATTAATTAAATTTTTATTAAAAAGGTACAAATTTAAGATTCATCAACTATCTTGCACATTGAGAAATATATGAATTGACCACGGTATTATTTTTCATAGCACTATTGATGAAAATTTAATAAAATTTTGTTGTTTTGGATTGTTTACCATACCCAAAAAAAAAAATTCATAGCTTCAAATCTTATGCCAAAATACTTTCGATCCAATTGTAGTTTATGATTTTGATTAATATAATATTCATAATTTGTACAATTAATATATATATAATTTTAAGTAAATTAAAATTATTTATGAAATTGTTCCCATTAAATGACAATGGTAAAATTAGGATAAGGTTCACCATTATTTGGGGAACATTTTATGAAAAAATAGGACTTAGTTGTCCACAATGAAACTTTATAGGACTCAATGATAATCTTGAGTGCAAAATAGGACTTATTGATAATTTTTCCAAAAATGTATCAATCGTCTAAAAGCACCACCTACACCAAAATAAAAATAAAAATCATAAATTGGTGCAAAATAGGACTTGTTGATAATTTTTCCAAAAATGTATCATTATCTAAAAGCACCAACTACACCAAAATAAAAATAAATAAAAATCATAAATTAGAAATGAAATGGAATCATGACAATATAAATACTAGAACAACCTTATAATTCCAACATAAAAGGTGAATATGAACAATTATTAATTGATGGAACCACTCTTTTCAAAAGGAGGTCCAAAGTAAAATTGTTGGTGTCTACAAAGATAAACATGTAGACTTACGTGTACTTTCGGCATCCTTTACAAAATTTTGCAGTTCTCTCCCTAAACATATCAGCAACTTCTTCCAAACCTTGGACCTGTTTCACCAAATAATTTAGCATTAAGCCTTACATCTTCAACCAAACTTCAACATAAATACAATACACCATCATATCCAACTTAAGTACTCGAACCTTTAAATTTTGCAAGCCATAAGAGTATGTATCTTAAACTTCTAAAAATCAACCAACAACAAAAAAGAGCATTCCAAAGGACAAAAAGAGAAAGGATCAAACAACAAGCAAGGCTACAAACGAACCGAATTGTTCATGAATAGCTCGAGCATGGCTCATTTGTTGTTCATTCAAACTCGTTTGATTACGTATGTGAACAAGCTCAAGAAGACACTAGTTCAAGTCAACCAAGCTTGGCTCAATTATATATGTACAAGATTTATATAGTAGTTTGAGTTCTTTACCATTATACCCCTTTGGCTTCATAAATATACATATATATATATATACAAAAGAAATGATGGGTACAACAGGCCTTCACGTCAAAAAATATTTAATGCACTTCTACCTCCACCACAACTAGCATACACTTTTAATAGTGGTGAGACAGCTTATGCAATTCTGTACTAGCAATGTGGAATAAGAACTCCATGGCTTGGTTACACTTTTATATACATTGGGATGCTTAAAACAATCAATCAATACAATCAATCAATAATACATATATTTTTACAGTAACTAGGTTATTTCTGTATATTTTTTACCCATCCCACATTGGTCCTCAACGATTCAATGGCTACAATGATAATTCTAGAAGTAATGAGACGCCAAAATGATTCCTAAATGTTTGACTTGCACCTGATGTTAGCTACAATAGTAAAAATAACTATTAGATACAAGCCAACTAAAGACAAGATCGGGCGCAACTAAAATCCAACGAGCTGAGATCGAGCTTGGTTGGTCTAGCTTGACTTGAACTCAAGCAGAGATCAAACACTCTTGAAATAGACCAAGCCGAGCTCGAACACTTCAATACTCAACTCAGCTCATCTCGGCTCATTGTAGTCCTAACAACAGCCCAATGAAAAATAATGCCCAAAAAGTGTGAATCCCAAGGTATTTTTTACACATTTTTTATGTATTTCTAAACACTTTTCACACATATCCATGCAATTTTCTCACACCCATCATGACAACCTCTAATTAGCATTTCCCAAAGAAAAATAAAACATATATATATATATATATCAGTAGTCAATCAAGCCGTCTTCTCATCTAAGAAGTGTGCAAGAATATGGGTATCATTGCCTTTTTGTCATCATGTTGCCAAAGTCGGACACCTTAGATTTTCATATTCAGTTGAAATAGATTCACAACTTTATGTCCACATAAAGTGCATTTAAGTTGTAGAAGGTTGCAAGTCATTGCAGTTTTCATTTAAAATACTTGTAATGCTCTTCTAAATCATTTTATTCAAACAGTATTTGGAATCATATTTCCTATAAATCTTAACTTTCTTCCAAACTTTCCATGTAGAAAGGACTTCAAGGCATCCCTCAATATCAATGTTAGAATAACAATTATCTCAAAATCTTAAGGTGGCGTTTGGTAACATTTACGTTTTTGGTTTATGTTTATGAAAAAATTGTAAACTTGCCGCCCGCCGGGGAAGTGAAAATACTGGGTTCTAAACCTGCTCTGATACCATGTTAAAAATTTAATGTATAAAGAGAAATAGAGAATTGTATTATTGATTGATATATGTTGTTATATATTATAATGATTCATGATTCCTATATATAGAAGAGGGTGAGTGTGTAGTAGGTGAGGAGTAGGTGGAGAGTAGGTGAAGTACGTGAGTGTGTAGTAGGTGGTAGTGGTAGGTGTGTAGTAGGTGAATTTTAACAGACACCTTAGATTTTCATATTCAGTTGAAATAGATTCACAACTTTATGTCCACGTAAAGTGCATTTAAGTTGTAGAAGGTTGCAAGTCATTGCAGTTTTCATTTAAAATACTTGTAATGCTTTTCTAAATCATTTTATTCAAACAGTATTTGGAATCATATTTCCTATAAATCTTAACTTTCTTCCAAACTTTCCATGTAGAAAGGACTTCAAGGCATCCCTCAATATCAATGTTAGAATAACAATTATCTCAAAATCTTAAGGTGGCGTTTAGTAACATTTACGTTTTTGGTTTATGTTTATGAAAAAATTGTAAACTAGTTTTTGTTTATTTTTTGAAAAATAAAAACTACAAACACGTTTGGTTTGAACAAAATATTTTTTAAAAAAAAAATTAAAAACAAAAACTCAAAAACATGCTTGTTCATATTAATGCATAAAATGTTTATTTTGTTTTTTAATTATTTATGACACAAATCCCATGCTATTGTATAGTATAAACACCAATTGGATCCTCCAACAACAATAAATACACAAAGTTCAACCAAAAATAAAATTCAAAATCGATCTACCCACGAACAGAGTGCCGGCGCTAAGCTACACATCGAGTTGATTGAGATCAATGTTGCCGAGAATCAACAGCCCCAATTTCTTCTTCAACAAGATCTTACACACACTCTTTATCACCCTCAGAGAGAACATCGCCTCCGATTTGGCGATGTTCCACTAAAGCATCTTCACTATCTCTCCTCTCTCTTCAATTTCCCACAATTCTAATTTTAGGGTTTCTATCCGCAAATTAGGGTTTTGCGAAACACAACCTCAACTTGCTCAAGATGGAAGCTCGCACCTCCATCCAAGCAGACAAAGGGGAGAGAGAGAGAGACTGATCTCGTTCGAGAGATGAAATTATGTATGTATGTGGCTCCAATTTTTAAAGAGAGAGAAGAGAGATACCTGGTTGCTATTGATGATGAGTTGTTATTGATGATGGAGAGAGAGAGAGAGAGACGAGATACAGAGTAATACATTTTTTACCATTGATGAACAAATAATATATTACCGTTGAAATACATATGGGTAGGAGTGTCTCCGCCTAGTTTCGAACTCCAAACCAAGTCAAATGGTCCAATATTTTTTGTACCTTCCATGTTTTGAGCTTACAAATTTGGTTTTTAATACACAAAAACATATTTTTTGTGTTTATGTTTTTCAGCCTTATTTATAAACTGAGGCTAACTACTTATAAAGCTAAAAAATTACCAAACAAGTTTTTATGCTAGTTTTAAAAATTTTTGTAAGTATAAATAAAAAACTTAAAACAAAATGGCTACCAAACAAATCTTAAGATGTTAAAAAATTGATCCAACATTGTATTTCAAGCTATCTAAGAGCTGGCACTCCCTCACATGTAACCTGAAATCGTATCTCAAGCTATCTAATAAGCCAAAAGTTACCAAGTGGACTAATTAGTTCAATTCGCCAATTCCCATGTATTAATCATGCACATACCATTCACACAATACTACAATAAATAAATCAAGATAATAGACACAATGATATATGTGAAAAACTCTTGGGAACATACATTGTTGGGCTCATTTCCCAACAGCTTAAGATTTTGAGACAAATGGATCTAACATGGTGTCAGAGCTCAAGTTGAGGGCCATCTTGGTTACAAATCTCTTCATTTGCATTTTGCTACTTCTTCTCTCTATGTATGTGATGTGGAACGTTCATGCATACTCATGGAGACTTTATTTACAATTTTATAATTTTATGCACTTTGTATTTTATTTATTTTCTTCTTTCAATTATAGTATAATTGGAAATTTTATAAATGTCTAGTTTCCTATTTTATTCGGATTTTAGCTTCCTTTTTATCTTAGGCTTTAGTATCTTATTTCAACTAGAGTTAATGGTCTATACAATATTAGGTTTTCCAATTTATTATGGAGAATTGATTAATTTTTTGAGTTGATAAGGTTGTGCCCCTGTGTGATTAGGGTTGTGATCCCTATGTTCTTCCGCTCTCCCCTTGCTCTCTTCTTTCTCTCTCTTGGTTCTACATCAATTTGGTATCATATCCTAAAATCGATTCAAAAAAAGAAAATCAATCCATCTAGCATCATTCGATCCACCACTCTATTGTACATGTTCGTGAAATATATATATATATATATATATCAATCCTCCATTATTGTTGTCTTAGCAATTTTGCAGCACCATTGTAGTTGGCACCATCCATACCCCTTCGCATCGCAATACCTAGATCTTCCCCTTGTCAACTGCAGATCACTAACAAGAATTGATTGCAACTGTTGTGTTGTTTTTTGGTTGGAGTTGTGTCGTATTGGAGGCTAAGGTTTCAGCCATAAAACACTAGTGTGAAGATGCTAGAATATAAGGTAATCCCTTGCCCTGATGTGAACAACAGCATCCATAACTCCATTTTGCAACAACAATGTCCTTCCTCTCCCAAACCATATAGGAATGTCAATGAAACTAAACAAGAATGGAAGCCTTAGAGAATGCGGGATAAAAGACATAGAATGGATAGGAATATTAAAGATGGAAGAAAAAAAGGAACGAGTAGATCCATATCAAAGGAGCAACCTATTGATGTGAAGGGTTGCAAGCTAAAAAGCATGGATACGGAACTAGTGATTTTCAAAAAATTAGGATACCGACACAGCAAGAATATAGGAAACAAATATATTTTTATATATTATATTCACTATGTATGCATATGAATATAAATTTAGGGCACACATATTTGAGAGGCTATGATATATATGAGGGATGTATTTTTATTTTAATTTATTTTTATTTTCATTTTCTCCCTTTTATATCTATATATTTTACTTTGACCCCAAATTAGCTTTCTCAAATTATATTGTACACAAAAAAAATAAAACATTAAAAAAAAATTGAAAAAAATGAAAAAAAAAAAAAAACTCACAAAGGCGTCTTGATGCATATCCAACGCAAGACACGCATGTCTATGTAGTGTCCCCAACATGCCCCACAAAAATAATAATTGAAAATTTTGACACACAACATGGCATGTCAAACACACGTGGACATGCATGTCCACATTGTGTTGTTACGGACACGGTTGGACATGGACAAAGCACCCATCTTGGAGTGTCCGTGCTTCTTAGGTTGCAAGGCTTCTAGTAGCACCAATATTTGATGTCCTCAACTCGTGTAAAAAATATCTAGCAAATGAGTGTCCATCAAGGACAGTGGCTAACGAAGGAATGTTCTCCAACTAGCAATGCAAAAATGGGTAAAGAGTAAGAATACACTCCATCAAATAATGCGAACATGAAAGAGTGCAAATAAGGTTAACTATCAGAAGGCTAAAGGGGATAAGATCACATTCTCTACATCATAAAAGAAGTCTAGGCAAAAATATCTTGAGCAAGGTTGGGAAGCATAAGCCCTTTAGTTTCTCCAGTTCCCTGCCTTCTCAGGTTGTGAGAGGATGCTTTTATTTTGATTTGATGAGTAGCCTCTTGGGTTGTGGGGATATGTTTCAGAGGCTAGGGCCTAGTTGTTCTTGCCTTCTTTGGTGAATGTGGCCCTCAGGGTATCTCTTTGTGGACGCTTCGGGATTGTGTCTTGAGCGTCATTGTACGCCTTTCTTTTTGGATAATAAAAGCTAACTTACCGAAAAAACAAGTCCAAAATTGGCCTGGTTGTTCTTGCCTTCTTTGGTGAATGTGGCCCTCAGGGTATCTCTTTGTGGACCCTTCGGGATTGTGTCTTTCGCTTCATTGTATGTCTTTCTTTTTGGATAATAAAAGCTAACTTACTAGTCGGGCTACCCCGGCAACATCTAAGCTACTTACCTTAGTGGCCCCCGTAATTGAAACATAAATCATCACATTTTACCAAACTTATGACTTTAAAATGTTGACACAAGATTTCTTAGTTTTACATTTCTAAAACAACTTTTAAGATTAGATTATTTCCTTTCAAAATGGCCTATCCCAAAATGCAACATTTTAGTGTCAAGTTAGGTAGGAGTTCCAAGGATGAGGTGACATGTAGAGAAAAGTTGTATGTGTAGTTAGTTAGGGACTTGCGTAGTTGGAAATAAATAATCAACTGTGAAGTGAGTAAATTATAGACATGACTAGTAGTGTAGTAATAATCAAGAAGCAAACAAATAGGTAATTGGTTGGACAAATAAATTATAAATTTCCATGTAACATTTGATAGCGAATTTAGGATTTGAAGAGGATGTACGTACCTGTTGGCGGAACATAGGGGAATCGTCGAGTTTGGCAAAGGCAAACTTGCTTTCCTGCTGGCGAAACAAGGCGGATTCGACCAACTCCTCGAAATGCATGTTTAATTCCTGCATCTGATCGCAATCAAAATAGAAAACGCAATACCTGTGGCTGTTTCTCCAACTGTAATGTCAGCGAATTGGCTTAGAAAACCCTAAATTGTGCGTGGAATGGAATGTGATCGATGGAGTTGGAGGAGGTGAAAGAGATGTATTGGTAGTCTGTTGTTGGGGTTGGATTGGATGGGAAAAAGACCGGAAATGGAGGAGCAGAGGGGGCATGGTTTTTTGTTGGAGCTGAATATAGGCCTCTTCTTGCGAATCAATTTTCATGCTTCTCTCTCTCACTGAAACTAAAATTAGACACCTCTCTCTCTCTCTCTCTCTCTCACTTCCGTGCGCGCGAAAACCTTGCTACCCATGCACCAACATCAAAACTTCGGACACCCAACAACACAACATAAAACCATAAATTACAAAAAACCCTCGGTTTATTTAAATTATAAATTATTTTATGTCTGATTTTTAATTTTAAAATAAATAAAATTTTTTATTAATTAATTTAATAATTTATTAATAATATTAAATTTTTATTTTAATTAATAATTCAGATAATTTTATTATTATATATGTGAACAATTAGGAATTTTACTTTTTCAATTAATTCTATTAAATAAAAAAATTCTGACAGTGATATTTATAATTTTACAAGCCACAAAGCAAAATTTGTATTTTAAGCAAACCTCAAATAGTGTATTTGTAATTTACCCTAACATAAATAGTCTCTCCTCTCCATCCCAAAATATTAATTTCTTATTTTATTTTTTATTATCTTAAAATATTAGTCATTTTTTCACAAAAAGTGATTTTATTTACAAACCAGTGATATCTTCAATATATATCATTAATAAATTAAATTTATATTTTAATAATATCCTTTAATAAAATGATCATTAAAAATAATATGAGATATATTCTACCCATTTAAAATTTTCATATTTAAAAACACAAGATACTCTTCACATACCATCATCCATATAGAATCATTCATATATGGTGTGTAAATAGAATCACCCTTTCAAAAATCAAGTACTAAAACAATATGAATTTTTTATTTTACTCTCTTTTTAAATTCATTAATATTAATATACAAAAAAATATGGCATGTACCCTTTGGCACCCAAAGATTTCTCCTTGTTGAAAAAAGAAATATTGAGGGTAATTTAGGTCTTAGGTATAATTTTGTATTATTTGAGTTATTAAGCCCAAACTCTAATTATTTTAGACCAAAAGGACATAATTTGTCCTAAATGACATTATCTGTTGAAATTAATGTATCTGTTTTTCTATTGAAATCACTTTATATCTTGAAATCATTCAACTTATCTATCTGTTGAAATTCACTATGCCTATTTTCCAATCTGTTGAAATTCACCAAGTAACTTATCTATTGAAATGTTGCACATGACACATGTCACTCATTCGACACTCTATCTATTGAATATCACACATTTTTTTACCTCACAACTACCATCTATTGTTGCCGGCACCAACAAAATTTTTCAGCAACTTTTTCAGTATGTCTTTATCACCAAATAAGATTTTCTCTTAAGTCTAATGCCTTATACTCTTTTGAGAGTGGACTTTTCACCAATTTTCTCATTTTTTATTAAATCAATATGTTTTGTTTCTCATTAATTTAATATTATTATAAACTCTATTGTAAATTAAAATTACTCATTATTACGTGATAATACCATAACATTTAATATTTCTTTGCTGTCTGGATATTATTTTTCTTTTCTTTTTTAGCTACTAATTGCCTCCCTAAAATTACACTTTGAAACCTACTATCAAAACATAAAGTTATTACAATTTTATTCTATATCAAAATTTCATTTTTTCCGTCATTATTAACTTTCCAAACCTAATCCTAATCTGTAATGCCTCGAATTAATTAACATAAAACCCAACTCATAATCGTAAGTCAATTGATCAATAAACTCATATTCTCCATTCATATTATCTATGATCATTACAAAAGGTGACATATGCAACATACATTCATAAATCTTAAATTTTGAATCTACAGCATACGACATTGATACAAGAATAGAAAGGAAATTAATATCGAATAGAAAAATGGCTTACAACTTTTCAAGACGATACTTAGTTACAACAAAATGAGTTTCAACTCAATACAAATAAAACCCATGACTTAAACAAATAATTACATCAAAACATAACCAAAAAAAGAAGCCTTAAGCTTCGAGTCCTCCCAAGCTACGTTATTGGCGGAGGCATGTTATCAGCACCTGAAAGTTGTTTTCTACATAGGGTGAGTCAAAACCCAGTAGAGATACTCTAACACATTATATGAATCTTAGCAAAATTATAAGGTGAATGCACAATGTATGCCATTTTCCAAACATTTCCCGTTTTCCATCTCAAAACTATGCAATGCCAAATTATACATCAATTCATGAAAAATAATCCTATTATACAAAAAACATGGCAGTGAATACAACACACTGGGAATCTCTAAGTACGTGTTTGTAAGTAGGCTATACAAGTACTATCAAAACCATTTTATCAGTACTAACTTAAATGATCAGCACCTAATCGCGTCGGTTTCTGAACTTTCACAAAGGACACACAGGCAAACATAACAAAACCACAACTACACCTCCTAACTAGATTTACCACTGTATTCACCAATTTTTCTCAAAAATCGTTACATTTACAATGTTCAATGTATAATGTATAATGATGCTTAATGCACAATGGACGAGAAATTAGTTTCAATTCAACCTAATCCTCATGCAATGTCTACAACAATCAAGACTATCCTCTACCGATAGCCCAAAATAGTTATTTATATTCAATAGATAAATTCCAATCAAAATACGTTTTCATCAATTTCAATGGGAGTGATAATACATATCAAACTCCACCATCATTATCAACATAATCATTATTTCAATTTCACAATATCCAACATCATTTTTCATTTCCCTTTTTACAATTTCCAATAACCAAAATTTGGGGAAATACCCCTTTTTCTTTCCAAAATCAATTTTTAGAAAAACTTTCCACCATTTCAACACAACTCATCCATAACCATATTCTACAACCCTTTTCAAGAATCAATTTGGAAAACTCCTATTTTAATTTCAAACCAAACCCTAGTTTTTACCAAAATCTCCCATACACATAACCTTTTTGAAAAGACAAATAATTAAGCTAAATAAAACTCATAAATAGAGTCAAAAAAATCCTTACCTCAAAGAAGAAGACACGAAGGAAAGATGGATAGAACTTAACGGTATTGAAAATGGTAGATGATCTGATCAAAATGAACCCCCCAATGTGCTCAATATTTTTCTCCAAAGGAGTAGGGTGAGGAAATCTACGGATTGAGAGTATTTGGGGTAAAAGTTCAAGAACTAGAGAGAGAGGAAGTAGATCTAGGGTTTTGGAATGTTTAGAGAGAAAGTGAGATAAAAAAGTGAGCAAAAAGGTCTTCCGCTTAGACTGATATACGCACAGATCGCTCGAGTGACAGACACAATAAGTGACACCGCTCGAGCTCACAATGACCCCCTGTAGCTTGCTTTTTGTGCTCATTGGAGGAGTTTAGTCTCCTCGGATATGATAGCCTTACAGTTTGGACTTCTGTGGTTCTGAATCTGATTTCACAAATGCAATGTGAAGTAGATAAGCATAAAAGAGTCAAAATTTGACAAATCTTTTGAAAAATCAATTTTTTTAATCAAAAATGCAAAAAATATACTACATTGCCAAATTTCAAAGTCGCCACCTAAATATTTTTAGGAAATTTAGGAAATCCGTGACTCATGCCAAACGCCACTTATTAGTCATCACCGAAGTGTGTCGGCTTGGGAACTTAGGTATGAGAGAGGAAGGTCATGAAGTGAACACCCCACTTACTTAATCAAAGATCGACCTCTACGAATTATGATGTGATTTTTATATACAGAATATGCTCTTGTTCTGGTTATTATGTTATCTTTACTATGTGATGCACACAAGTATAGACTATCTCACCCAATTTGAAATATTTTGATTTCATGTTTGTTTTGAGAAGTGTTTTGAATATATACCACTTGAAAAAGTGATCTCATATGTACATTAATCAAAGTATCTCAACTTAAGCGAAAAAGCCTTCATCCACAGGCATTTCAAATAAGTATATCAACTAAGCACTTAGCTTCATGGTAAACATACTTGGCATGGAAACAATCGCACGCATACAATCTACTAAAGCGAAAAAATGCTTATCCTAAATAGCCGAGGCACGCCAAAAGAAAGAAAATAGTTAGAAAAAATGCATGATCATAATAATGCAAAATGACTAATGCAACATATGCAATATGCAATTAATAGGCTCGGCTACTAGTATGGCACGTGAGTTAATTTAAGGCATGTGATAAAAGCACATATTCAATTAAAGAAGTTGAAATTGACATTGATTAGTATGATGAGCCAAACCCTTATGTATGCAAGACGAATGGATGCAAGTTACAAAAAATACTAAAGAAAATATGATGCTACATACAATACATCATAAGCAAGTAAATAAAAGGGAGAAAGAAATGGAGGTTGGAAGACATACACGATATTATAAGTTTGCCCTCATACAAGAGGGTCCGAGTGTTTGAGTGTCCGAATTAACTATTTATTACAAATCCAAATGAATAATAAATGAATAACTATCTAATTTATCAACAATAATATTACAATAATATATGTAAAGAATGAACAAAGATCACATGCGTGTTGGTGAAAACAGTCATCGTAAACTGCTCTGTCTACTTCTTGGGAAACTGTTATGTTCCACCCTCAGCCACTGCTTTTTGTTTCAACCAAAAGTGCTCTGTTTACCATATATTGGAGCCTGGCCGCCCCATAATGAAGCTCAGTCGGGCCCAAACAAATCCGGTCGTGCCTTATTTTCTTACAGAAAATCGTTTTTGTGCTCTGAGATGAAAAACAGTGCAGACAGAGTATTCCTAGGCAATGTTTGTCATTTCTGCTCTTCTCTATCATAGAGATACTCAAGAGATGAGCGAGTTCGGTTCTCAAACCATCAATGGTTGCAAGTTGATTACGTGATGGTTTTAGACACGATAGGACAAAAAATTAATGAATGCAATGAAAGACAAACCATACATCATTCCTATTATGAAGTTAATTCAAGAATGGAGGTAGACAAGCTTTAAGAGTCATCAAACAACACGGATTAGTATGGGATGAATCTAGAAGCGATGGATTCGATATAACATCAGATCGAATCTAACCAATTTATTAGGTTTTTTTTACATTAGTTTTAATCGATTTTAAGCTGATTTTATTAGCCCTTTTCAACTTACCTTTCCATTACTTAATC